AAATATCCATATTATATGTGTGGTTGTTGACATGTCTGCTATATTTTGCTATGTATATATGGATCGATACTTCATTATAATTACTTATTCATGTTAAGACTGTCCATTGATTTGTTCATACACTTGTCTGAACATTCATATATATTTTGCTCACACAATCTTGTGTGTCCACTTACTTTGGTGTGATACCACTTATTGCTTCTCCTTGTATCTGGAAAATAGAAGTATCATCGCAAACCTAGTGGTCTTCTGATTTCCGTCTTTCTTGCGTCAGGACTATTAAATTCTCGACCAGTGCATAACACTGATTTGGCGACGAGTACATAACAATTGGCGACGGGGAAAACTACTATTAACCACTCAGCAGCAGCAACATAACACATTATTCCCTCTTTACTGAGCAAGGTTAAAGAGTGTGTGAGCTGGGAATCAAATACCAGACCACGTGGTGGTTATTGTTGTTATTATTGTTCCCTTGAGTTCCTAGTGGAACATAGGGCTTCAGCTGCATGTCTCCACTTGCTTATGTCTTCCTTCTGCTGAACTTTTCACCTCCATCCATCTTAGTCCATACTCTTTCAACTCCTCTTCACACGGTCTCCTCCATGTCACCCTTGCACTGACGTCACACTCTCCGCTTGCCTTTCGGCCTGGTTCCACTCGAGAAATGGCCTGACGCGTGCGCGATGTCACCCAGCGGCGGCCTCCTCAGCCACGAGTGTCCAATCCATCTCAATCCACTTTCTCCTGCATATTTGTTGGTTGGGTGATTGGTTCTTGTTTTGTTTGTTAGTGCCCAGAGTTTCTTGTTGGTGATTCGTTCTGGCCTGGCCATCTGGTCTTCAGTATATAGCGAAGACAGTTGTTGATCAAAGTCTGCAACAGGCTGTTGGGAATATTCTTTGTGACTCGCCCGCCAAGTTTCTCATCCGTGTAAAAGAACTGACTGACTTGACGTTTGTATTAAAAACCCTACCGAATTTCGTTGGTGATGCTGGCTGAGTGACGAAGATTTCCAGATTGGTTTCAGGTTGATGAATGTGTTCTTCGCTTTCCCGATTTTCGCTCGATTTGACATCCTCGTCCGTTCCGACTTCCTGTAGTTCAGACAATGCTCCCTAGATAGGTGAATGAATTAAACTCTTTCAAATCCCTTCCGTTGATGGTGATTGACGTTGGTTGTTGCTGCTGTTGTAGTTGTTGGTTAGTTATTTTCATCACTTCCGTCTTGTCTATGTTTACCTGCAGTCCTGTCCTCGCCGGCTGCTTCTTCGACCAGTTTGTCGGTTTTCGCTTGTAAGTCTTCGATTTTTTGTGACATCAAACATAAATCATCCATACTCGAAATTCAGGTCTTTTAGGTTCTTCACGTCAGTCCAGAATATTCCTCTCTTCTCGTTTCCCACTCTCTGATGCACAATCCAGTCAGTTAACCACAATTAGGAATATCATTCCGTGGTGGTTAATGGATATTGTATCATGTGACCTCCGACGCACAAAATGAAACTTTAAGCCAACTATATTTTATATTTTTATTTTACTTAAGTAATTTTAAAAATTTCTTTTATTTTCGGATTAATTCGCAAATGTCTTTAGGGCATATGGTGATCTGATGAGCACACTAAATACACAACAGTGTGCATACTGTTTACAATGAATATACTGAATCATGATGATAATTCTCTGAAAAATTGAACAAACTGATTTCGGAGACAGTCTTTAGCTACGAAATTGTTTAACACAAACTAACTTTAATTTTATTCATCAGCTTATTTCACTTAGTAAATAAAACAGGAACCTGGGTTCTGATCACTAACCATGTTACTTCCATCAGCCACAAGATTTTAAAATTTCAGCGAAAAAAAGATAGGTAAAGGTTTTTATGTTCCAATAATCTATTTTACCCCGACTTACTAGTTCGACCTATGTGATGATTGTGAGGTCAATTACAAATTTAGCCTGACCTAGAATAACTGACCCTGCTAAGTTAAATAACCCGGAAAAATACTCTGCTATTGTATTGCATTCATTTGCATGTAATCATGAAATAGGATGGAGGGATAGGGTGAGAGTTTTAAAAAGTAATATCGTTAGGTGGAGATGGAGATAGGTTAATCACGAAACAAGTGCAATCGGAATGACACAAGCGCCCATCCTGCGCATATGGAAAGTGGCAGCGAACAACAAGGCCAAGTTGGAGAGAGGAAAAGAGATAACATGTTTATATAAGACAAACTGTGAAATCGTGTGACTAAAGTGAAGGGATTATGAGCAGTAACTCACGCTAGAAACGTCGTCCACTTATCAGTGCTGCGTCACTGTGTGATATTTAAAATAGACTTATCTAATACGGTCTAATAGTCAACTCATCGACATTATGACCTACATATGTGTATCTAATGTAGAGTTTTCTGAAGTATATATGAATATATACCTTATGCTGTCTACTTGTAGATGAAAACGGGAAGGACTACTTACTATCTGTAAACAAGAAGCCATTTTATATACGACTACAACTCACGGGCGATATACCAAGCGAGATAATTGTGAAGAAATTAAGAAAATCAGTTCAAAGAACTTTTAATGCTGGCGAACTACACGTATTGTTCTCTACACAACCAGTGGTGATTCCTCGACTTAAAGATGAAGTACCTAGATTAGCCACTTCAGATTGTATCCACCAATTCAACTGCACTTGTGGAGCGAGTTATATTGGCCGTTGTTCTAGGAACTTGATTTTTCGTGCTCACTAGAGAACATCTCCCACTGTGGCTAAGTAAAGGTGTAGTGAAAACCACTAACAGATCGATATCGGACCATCTGGTGCAAACCGGCCACAAAGCCAGCCAGCACTGAAGAATCCTTCTCTATCATCTACCGGGTACCAAATAAATTCCCAAAATCATTGAAGCACCGCATGCTCCAAACAGCAAAAGCTATTGCAGTTCGCCTCAAACAACCAGTGCTCTATGTTCAAAAGAAGCAAGTTCAGCCCCTACTACTGCCCTGGCTGGCATTCAGTAGAAACTATGAACTCATGAATTTGTAATATTATCCTTTTTAATTCTTTTGACATTCAACTTATTTTATGTTGATGCTATTGAGCTGCAATCTATGCATATTATTATTGATTGGATGTCATTTAAACATTAATGTTGTTCATAACACTAATTCATTCATCCACTATAATGTATATATAACTGAAGAGCGTGATGATGAAGTTATCGAAAAGACTACTATTTGTTCAGTATCCATTCTTTTGAAAAATTTGATTATGTTAAGTAGGCAACTTAGTTTTCTAGTTATTTTTACAAGGTGCCTAAGGGAAGTCTCTATCAAACTGTCAATCAAAACTTTTCATGAATATGTTAAGTTGTAAGTCAGGCAGTTTCAACTTCCTTATGTTGTATTTATTTGCAGTGAAACAGTGCTGGCTTATTTAACGGAACTAACAATTTTCGACTTCTTTTTGCGTGTCATGCGTGAATAAAGGATTAGTCTCATCACTGAATAAATAAAGAGAGGTGTATCTTTTTTAATGGGCTTTTAAATGTGATAAGCTAAAAGAAGTAGATTGCAGTTAATAGCGTTCTCTGAGATGGTTGGTTTAGTAGCGAAGCTTTCATCGTCTTTCTGGATGACATCTTCAGTGCAGTATTTAGGATAAAGTGAAATGGTTTAAATTTCTTCATGAGTGATATAATTGTGTCTCCCGGTAACCATCTTTAGATATGTATTGACCGTTTTCTATTGATTGGGATTCTAAGCTTTCTGATCATCTGATTCACTTTTCATTAGTTGGTATATTTCATCTATATTAACGTGTTTATTAATTGCATTTTCGTTTGAGTACCAGGCTTCTAGGAATTCCCTGGCATATTTAGTGTTTCCTCTGTCTAAGATTTTGACATTATCCTTATCAAATTGATGTCCATAATCGTCTGTACGCATTGATATTAAAGAATGAATATCATGTCTTTTCACGGCTGATTTGTGTTCTTGGATTCTTATTCGAAGGGGACGACCACTTTGGCCGATGTAATGTTTGTTATAGTTCATACAATTTATTTTGTAAATGGCGTTAATTTTATCTCCTTTTTCTGTTGGATCTTTTGGTTTGAATAAAATCGAATTAAGCGATTCGGCTGGTTTGTGTGCTACATCTATATCAAATTGTTTCATCATTCTAGCCGTTATTTCAGAGATGTTTCTGATTTATGGTAGGATGAATTTCTTTTTGGTCTTTGGTGATGGTTCTTTGTTGGTGCTTTCATTCGATTTTAAAAACTTTTTGATGAAATTTTTGGATAACCATTCTTCTTGAACACCGTTTGTAAGTATTTTTCTTCCATTCTTTTCAACTCTGGCGTGTTACAATGTGTTTGAACTTTTCTAAACAATGTCTGTATACAGTTTCATTTGTGAGTAATTGGATTTTTGCTAGTATAGTTGAGTTTTTGATCTGTGTGCGCAACTAAACCAACCAGCTCAGAGAACACTGTTAATAGAAAATCATCCACCTGAGTTACAAAGCTTTTCTATTATTTCAGAAGTAGATTTCTTCAGGATTTAAAGACTCTAGATTGACATATGCAAATAAATATAAGAGCGACGCAACTTTGTGGTTGTCTGGAAAGTATATTATTCAGAGTTGAAAGAAGATGCTTGATTCCCGGTAAAAAATGAATCAGTTTTAGCTCATATGTTTCTCATTAAAATGTTATACTTCAATAAATTCTCAGTCAACGTTTTAACCATATTTAGACACTTTTTATGATAACGTTTTACATGAGCTACTTTTATCAGTGAAGCTGAGGGTCGCTTTTTGAAAAGATGTAAACTTAAAGAACGGTGGAACTAGCAGGCCAGTGAAAAGCATTTAATGTCTTATGTAAGACAAAAGTTTAACGGAAATTCAAACTTCATAATAATAAAATAATATTCCTTTTTACAAAAAGATAATTACGGAGTAAATAAATCTACTATGGTTGAATACGTACCAGTCATTCTTGCTGAAAATAGCGACGGTGACATTCTAGAAGATAAACACTGAGGGTATTTTGCAACAGATGACTTTCGAGGTCCTTCAGAATAACGTCCTGGACTGGAACCACCTGAACCACCTATGCTAGACTCATTTGGCTGATCAAATCGTGGTACATCCAATGAAAAACTTTTCGTTGATAAAAGAGGATCTGACAAAAAACAGGAAAAAGTCATGTTTGTTAGTTTTCATTAGTATCTGTTTGCAAATAGTCAAGTAAAACGACACATAAATTTATGTTAACCCATTCAAAAATCAGTTTTAAAACAACTTTCTACATTTAAGGTTAGTCGTTTTAAATTTAACATTTTAAAAGAGATAATATCTGGACAAGCCATCCACCATCTTGTCAGTGAGAAGATTTGTATAATTGTCAGCGCATGTTAGCCCTTCATTTATGAATATTAGATCCTCTCTCTTCACTATTTCCAATAGTCAGTACATAAATGTAAATAGAACGATTAGGAATCTTTCTCAAAACTTGACGCATCTCATACTGCTTTTAGCTGGATAAGTGTTGAACAGATCCGATTAACGATATTTTCAGCCGAATAATTCAACACTTTATTTCAAACTAGTTTGTCATCACATAGAATTTTGATAAACATAGTAAAAAAACCACAAAAACTTCTATACCATTTCTTAAAATGGATTCTGATAAGAAGAAAACTAGTTGGACCGAAAATGGATTTTATCAGCTGAGCTGTTTTATAACAAATGTTCCAGCAATCTCTATGAAGAGTAATAGTTACTTATAGAAAATATTATCAAGATGTCAGCGAGTCTTGAGGAAATTTGCATAAATAACTATTACATTTCTTTTTACTTCTGACGTCTTTATCTGCTGGCTAAAGAAAGTTTTATTTTTCTGAATAAAAGACGACAGTAAGATAAAAGCAAATCTGACTACTGGGTTGATGAGACTGTATACAAGTTTTATAGTGTTCATAAAAAATATCAGTCATTATCATACTATAATTAAAAAGTGAAAATTTTGTAATACTGCCTGTATACGGAATCAATTCTCGGGAGACAAAGAAAGTAGTAAAGATTACACTGGATGACATTCAATGATTTTAAATCATTTCTTCTCTATCCAATAGATGTGTGAGTAAAGTACATTGATAACATAAAAGCTGTGATACTAATGAAGGTGTGTGTAGATTAAATCATCTATGAACAAGAAAGGCTAGAACGGGCGAATTCCACAAAATCTTGAAAATATTTTCTCAGCTACTATGTAATTTGTCAATTAGCTTTAAAAGACACGATTTCATTTAAGTTCGATTAGAATGAAGTTCATTTCTGAGTTCGTGATATGTAAAAAACGTTTCGGAAGTGTATCAGCGGTACTATCCCAGGTATCTTTAATTGATGCATGTGACACACCACTGATGAGCCAGTAGTTCCAGGGTGAAGAGAGATTTCCCTAATTCCGGATTTGGGTCATGGAAATCTGACTTCCAGTCTTTTCAGGAAACAAATCTGTAAAAAGATGGAGATATGTGACAAATATAAAACATCTGGTGCGCTACGTAGAGAAGAAATCCGTCCAGCTACTATTGCGATTCGGGCTTGCTGTAGAATCCATAATGTCATAAATACTGTCTTATGTCACACCTTTTAGATATGACCTTTCATTTTGTATGTACAGCAGCCCTTATTACTGCACTTGTGTAAACAGACTACTTGTTTTCTTATTTATTTAATCAGCTCACACTGATACACAAACATGTAACCTTCTAACCCATTTTGTTTCCATGCTATTGCAAAATCGTTTATTTATATGAAGTTTGTACTCGGTATGAAGAGAATTCAATATGAACATTGATCCTGACCATTCATTCTTTGTTATTTATGATCATTTAATTCAGTAATCTGATGTTCAACTCAGTGATACACTTATGCATATTATTACAAACACATTTTGAGCTATAATCTACCAACAATCCAATCGCAAATACCTCTTGGAATTTTGATGTCATTGATTCGACGTTATTTAAAAAAAACACTAACGTTGTCACTATCAATAATTCTTTAATTATTACAGATATTTAAATATGGAACCTGATGAAGTTATCCATAAAAATATTCTTTGTTCAGTAATCAGCTTTTTGAAATACAAAATCCCTGCTTATTTTGATTTCTCTGATTTTCCTATTTGTCTCCAAAAGTATCACAATTTTTCTGTGTCACTGCATTCCAGTTGACCTTTTGAAGTATAACCTTGTCTTCAACTGCTTCGTCGATTTACAGATTTTATCCGTATCATTATTATTTCAAGTTACATGGTATAAATACCAAATTTCAAAAAGTATAATAGCACTCCTCTAAAGCTACTACAGTTTGCTGGTTGTATTTATATTCATCTTCACACATCTGCAACCTACATGAACTCATTTTCAGAAAAGTTAAGGTTAAATTTTAACTTAACCATGCTGTAAGTTTTTAAAGGTGTCCACAATAAAAACCAAACAATTCGACTGTCATTCCCCTGAATGATTCTCTGACTAATTTATGAAGGGTTTACAGCTGGTCAATAACTTTTGAGTGGTTTCATAAAAAATTAAAAATTAAGAACAAGTAGGCTAACAGCACAGATATTTCGCAACGTCACAGGCTGGCGTTTGCGATATGTGTGGATATACACGTATATATCCAGGATCAGCAGATGTTAGAAATCATGGGTCATTGGATCGAGTCCCACTGGTTGACGCGTCTACGAGCTCGTCTTATAACACCGAGGTGTTGTGTTCGGCCCCCTGGCAGGTGAACACTACTGAAGATTCTAAAACTAGGACAAAACAGCGGTCCAGTACTTTCTGGTTTCACAGTGGTTATCTAACTGGTGTCACTTTGTGACCAAACTTTTAACTAATCGAATCCCCGCAAACAATTGCTTGGGAATCACTTCTGAATTCAAATAATTTGAGTAATATTTTGTAACTGTATTCTTCTGTTTAAATTGCAGCTTTTGTTTAAATTCGTAAACAGTTTCACTTTTCAGCCTTATGTTTCCATTAACAATCTGTTTTTAACTATTAGATGAGTCATAAAAGAGTCCTAACAGTTGCTTGAATTCATTCACAAATTGTTAGCCGAAGAATTATACTTTAATGTGCGCCGGTGGTATAGCGGTCAGGACGCTGGCCAACCGTGCACATGGTCCGGGGTTCGATTCCCGGCCGACTCACTCCTTTACATCACTAACCCAGAAATAATGCTGGTAAAGAGGAAAGGTTGAGCACGAAGATAGCAACCCACCCTGTAAAAAAACATTGCTACAGAAACTTCAAGCCACTAGCTTGTAGCCCTATATTCCACTGCGAACGTGAAGGAAAAAAAAGGATTCCAGAACCTAATGCTGTTAGGTTCTTTATACATTCAATATTATTAAAACTCAATTAATCTGCACCATTTAGAGTTAGTTATCTTCAGTTTACTTTCGGTTTTCCAGTTGATTGATCGAACCGGAATGTTTGGCCTAATTCAACAAATCAGACCCTTATGCACATGCTTCTAAGCTGTCTGAGGATTAACTTGAAGTAATTTGATGGATAGTGATTGTCAGTGAAATCCAAGTGACCTATTGGATAATGCTTTGGCTTTGAAACGACGGGTACTGGGTTCAAGTCCCAGTGAGAACACCATCAATTACTGAGAATGCGAGTATATCCAGGTGACGAGTTTTGAGTACGGCGCAATTAACATCCTGGATTCGTCTGCTGGTCACTACTCACCAAATTACTCAGATTTAGAGTCATCTTGAGGAAAATCTAGATTAGATGTGCACATTAACTCAGTGAAATAATTTTGTTTCACTTGATGGGTTCAGAAACCTTAAAAGCATAATCTTGTTACCAAGAAGAATTAAATTCCATACATTTAGAAAATAAGCGAAGGAATTTCTCAATTTAATAACAATAATTTTCAAATTCTTACATAATACACTTATAACACGAATGTTTATTTAATAGGTATGCATGATAATTATAATAAACACTTATGTATGTTTACGTCTACGCTAATCAAACAGAGTGATGACATCTCGACTAGGTAGGAGGGCAAATAGATTTATCTTCTTTCATTTCAGTAAGATTATTTTTTTAAAAATTGAAATTTAATTATTTTGTTGTTTGTAAAATTTTAGATGAAGTCCCATGATATCATGTTATGGTTGCATGAGTGTGAAATCAGTTGATAAAATGGAAATGGATAATAGGCAGATAGCTCGTAGAAGTATCCTTTATCTCTCTTAAACAAATGCACACATGTGTATCGATGAAAGAAAGAAAAAAAATCACTAGAAGCTTTCTTCTTATTAAAATTTTAATGAATTTCCTTTCTTCTTCCCGTTCTACCTGAATAATTAATCTATTTTTTTGACACCCGCGTATAGTTCTGACGTTCATGAGTTAGGCTAGAAACCCAAAACACAGAAATGAAGATCATAAAAGACAGAAAATGTAAATTAGTTTTATTTTCGTAAGCAACTAAGTATAAATTTGAGTCAAGTATTGGGTATTTGAATGAATGATTTTTTTAAATTCCTTGATGTTCCCAGTGGAACATATGGCCTCAAGCTAGTGGCTTGAAGTTTCAGTAGCAGTGATTAATTTTACAGGATGCGGGTTCTAGCCTCATGCCAAACCTTTCCTCTTTACAGCGTTATTTCTGGGTTAGCCAGACAAAGGAGTGAGTCGGCCGGGGATTGAACCCCGGACCATGTGCATGGTTGGCGAGCGTCTTAACCACTTTGCCACCAACGCAACGAATGATTACACTTTTCTAATGTGTGTCCATTGGAACTTTTTCAAAAGTTGTCATCGTGTGTCATGTAGAGAGTGTTACTAGAGCTGACAGTTTGATAATCATTATAACTTGGTATGAATTTCAAGTTGGTTCGTCACTTTTAATCTTTATCTTCTTTACTGTCAGATGACTTCAGCTAAATTAAAAGAGATTGGTGACATTGGACTACATTTTTGCATTTACCCAAGGCACAAAACCTACTGGTCGCAAACTGAACGTACAAAACCGTTCTCTGAGTCCTACTGCATAGATGAATAAACTTCCTTGAGACACGAACAGTCACAAAACACCCTGAAGACATCAGTCCTAAGAGCTATGTGATTGTCACCACTGCCGCTA